TTATTTGTTAATATCAATGTTTTAAACAAGAATTTTAAAACGTTATTTTTTAAGATTAATTTTTTTTATTTTCTAAAAAATAAAAAAAAACATTTCAATTTTACAAAAGTTGGAAAAAAATCATTTACGGTAAATGTTGTTTACAGGAAACTGTGAGTACTTTGTGGCCAGTCTTCGACAATTTCATGAGCAAATCGACCAAATCTGCACATTTGGACGCCGTCAAGCAAGCTGTGGTAATCCTCATGGGTTCCTTGGCTCGTCATTTAGATAAAGACGACGAAAGAATTAAACCAATAGTTTTGAGACTGATTCAGGCATTGTCAACACCGTCACAGACTGTACAAGAAGCAGTCGGTAATTGTTTACCACCTCTCATACCATCCGTCAAAGACGAAGCTCCTGGTTACATCAACAAGTTGCTCCATCAACTTCTCAAAGGCGACAAATACGGCGAACGTAAAGGTGCAGCTTATGGTTTGGCCGGCATCGTCAAAGGAATGGGAATTCTCGCCTTAAAACAACACGATATTATGACGAAACTCACCGAAGCAATCCAAGATAAGAAAAATTACAAGCATAGAGAGGGCGCTTTATTCGCCTTTGAGATGCTTTTCCACATGTTGGGCAAACTTTTCGAGCCGTATATCATTCACGTTTTGCCTCATTTGTTACAATGTTTCGGAGATACGAGTCAATATGTTCGAGCAGCTGCTGATGATACGGCTAAAGTCGTGATGAGTAAGCTATCGGGTCATGGTGTGAAGCTAGTTTTGCCATCATTGCTCGATGCTTTGGAGCAGGACTCGTGGAGGACCAAAACAGGCTCAGTAGAGTTGTTGGGGGCTATGGCGTATTGTGCACCAAAGCAGTTGTCGTCTTGTTTGCCGAGTATCGTACCGAAATTGATCGAGGTGTTGAGTGATTCGCATATGAAGGTTCAAGAAGCCGGAGCGGCAGCGTTGAAGGTCATTGGGTCGGTTATACGCAATCCAGAGATTCAAGGTAATTTAAAATTATTAGCTCAGCCAAATTAGACAAAAATAGGGCAATCGGTGGAAAAAAATCCTAGAGAGTTGGATTTTTTTTTAAACGCTTTCTTTACACTGGGGTAAACATACAGAGTGTTCGGTCCAAGTCGCCCTGGCCGATAACACCTAAACTTACTTTTTTTTCAAAAACTAATTTTTCAAATAATACTATTCATTCCTCGTTTTCTTAGTAAATGCATCAAATTTTTTTGGCACATCCGGTGTAGCCGGAAATGCTACCAAATTTAGTTTTTCAAATCGAACACCTATGTTTTTTTGCTCGAAACAATAATAATTGGCATGAAAAATACGGTAAACCACTATTTATTACATTTTACTTTACATAATGCACTTAGACGAATAGGTTCGCTTCTTAAAACTAAAAAACCTGTGGTTCTTTATGAAGAACAAGAATATAGAAATCTGAATGTTTTTTAACTTGGACGTTCTTAAGGCACTTTCTTACAAGGAATCTAAATCTGTCATCGTATTTTCCAAGGCGCTTTTGATGTCAGAGTTACAACACTCAAGTTTGGATTTTTTTAGGACGCCATATTCGATTTCTGTATTTTTGAAAAGTTTTTTTGTTCCTGATTATTGCGAAAAGTGCTTTGGAAAAAATGCCGGCGCAGGTTTTTGAATATCGTTATGATAATTTTATTGTCATTCTCATGCCAAGAAGATCCAACTCGAAGTATTTTTTTTAGTGGCGACCGACATTTTTGTTAATTGTTTTTAACTTTTTGGTTATTACAAAAAAATTGTTTCTACATAAGTTTTCTATACTTCTTAGGAATAAAAAAAGTTATCGATAATTACACAAAAAGGCCATTATCTTTCTATTTTTGATTTTATTTTATAAAAAGTGATTGTTTTTTAATTATTGTTGATGATAAGGTTTTATGTATAGTTTTAATGTTGTTTATTAAAAAAATATATAGGCAACAAGGCATTAAAATCCATAACAAAAATGTTATATAGGGTGTCAGAACTCCCCCAGAGAAAAAATTCAAGTAAGATAAGATACCAGGAACGTAGGAAATATGTTAAAAAATTCTCTGTCAAAAAGTTTTGACATTTATTTTTTGTAAAAAAAAATTGGTCAGGGTCTTTATTATAAGTGACAGCCTGTATATTATGTATATTTTTTATGATACTGATCTTGTATACGTTTTTTTTAATTACTTAGTAAAGGTACAAAAATTTTGTTAATAAAAGCCACAAATCACATTAAACAGAGTTACAATTTAGGATACAGCTTCCTTGTTTCCTCTTCGAATAGCCTGTAACAAAAAAAATTGGAATATTATTTTTCTAAGTGAAATAAATGGAGTTAAAGTGCAAAATTTAAAACTTCGAAATTTTATGGATAAAATTTTTTAAACATTTTTCCATGTTCCTGATATCTTACCTTAGATGTCGTTTTCTCTGGAGCGCGAGTTCTGGCGCACCCTGCATAACTGACTGGAGAAATGCTGGTATTTGCGAAGTTTTTCAAAACAGGGCTTATAGATATTTTTTTTGTCGAAATGAAGGAATGTGCTACCAAAACAGTAAACAAAAATGTCAGTAGCCATTAAAAAAAATTAATAACGTCATTGTTCCAAGACCAATGACGTTATAAATGTTGGTATAATGTGAAAATGTAATATGTATTTACAAACATAAAATCGACTTATTCGAAAATTTCTTTGAAAAATGACATAACAAAGATATCAATTTTGTTCGTTACTTTAGGTCCAACTGTACAGTAATAGTTATTCATCTGATTTAATGTGTAAAACAAACAAAATTAAAAACAAACAGAAAGTAAAATTTAATCCGAATCTTTAAAATTAATGCCAAAATCACTGTCATCATGACTTTCTTTTATAATTAAATTCTTCAAAATATCCTCCAGAAGTCCATTTTTATCCTAAAGTATAAGATGTTTATTCGACATGCATACAAAACTTTCCTCTCAACAGACAAAATTAATACTAACATAAGAAAATGATAAATTGGTCAAATGTCAAATAATTTGGCAAAATAAATATTTTAAGCTCATTTATTGCTCAATTTTAAAATAAAAATTGGTATCAAGAAACACCCAAAAGATTCAATTCACTCAATTCTAGTTTATTTTAAAAATAAAAGTCAGCATTTCATTTATTTTATTCCCGAGGGACAGCTTGATTCCTGTTGGGAGGAAATGTTTAAAAATGATTTTTTTTTGTCATAATGGGACGTTTCCTCTCTTGTTTTTAAGGAGTAACTGTCAAAATTTTGAAGAATAATTGACTTTTTTTAATTTTGAATGAAAACCAAAAGAAAAAAACGGCCATTTGTTGTTAAAAATTTTTGTTACCTCCCAAAAACGTCATTTGATTTTTATGATAAAATATTTGTTGTTAAATGACCGTTAATTTTTACCAAAAATGTTGTTCTTGAGAAACAATTTTTTCTATGTATTTGAATTTTAAATTCGAGTAGTAAAAACAGGTCAACAGAGGCTTTTGAAAATAATAATTATTTACAAAATAAAATTCAAATTAAAACTCATTGTTTCCTTTATATTATTTTATTAGTAGTTATTTATTTTATTGTTAGTCTACCAATTTAATCTTAGACCACACTTGAATGGACAACAATCTGGGAATTTTTTATTAGGATCAGCACAGTATCGTCCCGAAGTATTATATTCAGTACAACTAAAATAAAAGTAAGCCCAACATTCTAATAATTACAAAATTAAACCTGGACAAAATTGTTATTCCAGATCCATCGGAAAAACAGTACACTTTTTCACAAAACCCTAGAACCTCTTTGTTGCTCCCAGCTTCCAAATGACCCAACCTTTCCTCGTAGCACTGGCCAGGTTCTGTGGATTTTTAATAAAAAAAACTTTTGTAACACTTACTTCGCTTTGGATGTGGTGAAACTTCTGTCTGCTCAACTTCTGTGCTATAATTTATTAAAAAAATTAAGAGAATTACTTGTATTACCACCATTGTGTATATTATTGTGTTTTGAAATTGCCAAACTAAACTAGACCAATCGGGGTTTTATATATAATGGATGTCGTCAAATTTGGAAGTAAAATATCACTATAAAAAGTGCAATAACGAGCGATTTATTGCAAATGACAATTAAATTTTTAAACATGAAAAAGTGAAGAATTTAGAAATCATAGAAAAAAATATAGTGTGTAATCAACTTGTTAAATTTTGAGCGTACATTATTACAAAATAAAGAATTATATATATTTTTTTTAATTTCGCGTCATTAGCAACGCTAAACGAACTCGTTTAGGTGAGTTAACAGCCTAGAGTATTTTATGTTGGGAACAGTGTCGTTGGAAGTAAATTGCTTTCCGAATTTTTGGTGACGAACATTAAAAAATCTTGAGCATTCATTTTCAGATTACGCACAATGGCAGATATTAAGTTGAAATTTCCAGCGCCTTTATGAATAATACTGCTACGTGTCATCAACTGACGCAAAATTCCCCAAATTTAAATACTTTTTTTTTCATAAAAAGTGGAAAATAGGAAAAATAGTACCGTGATTTTTTAAATTTTTGTTCTACTTATCTATGACACTTACGTCAGCAGTAGAACGTATTGCGTAACTTCACAACATAAACATAACCTAATTTATTTTTTACAGTTTTCGTTGTTTCCACATGTACTGTCTATCATTTTCCTCGATTCTCATCAAAGATCTGTTTTTTCAAGACTACATTGTCGGTTGTGACTAATTCAAATGTGACATTTGATATTTAGGCAACACAAAATATACCGTTTTAGTTACGCGATACGTTTCATTGCTGATGGATAACTACAACAAAAAAAATCACACTGTATAAAAGACTCGTTACAAAAAGCGTGCATCTCGCATTAGATTTCCCTTTGCCACCAATAATAAACAATGAAACATTAGTAGCTAGATATAGCAATTGTCCAGTTTAATATAAATATTTTTCTATACAGGGTGAGTCTATAACATGGGTCTAAAAATACTCGTTCTATTAATAAAAACACAAAAACATTTAGGACCACTTTCAAAATCGAATTTAAAGGAACATTAAATTAAATGTTGTTTAGATTATGCTGATTACCACGGACTTGTTGATAAATATTTCACAATCTAAACCAACAATAACTTTAAATTTTGTAAGTTGAAAGTTGAAAAACGCCTTAAATTTAACGATATTACCAAATAATAATACATTTAAGACTCTAATTTTGTTTGAAATAAGATATCTACACGTTTTAAATCTAAAAAATATAAACTAGGCGTAATAAAAAATAACATTAAATAAGGCATAACGATTCAATTTTATACTCCCTCCGTCCAGAAATAAGTGTCCGATTTCGAATTTTTTCCTGTCCAGAAATAAGTATCCGATTCTCTTTAAAAATCATATTTTATTGAAACATAACTACATCTTAATTTAATTACAATACAATAACGTAAAAATTTTTAGGAGTAATTTGAGTTATTCAAACTGAATTTATGATGTCTTGTACATGTTCATAAAGTCTAAAATTTGTAAATGGTCTTTTTCATATGACTTACTTTATAATTGTTACCTCAATTTACTCTTATGGTTTGTACCATACACAGCTGGTGAGAAAGAAAAACCTTATTCCAAATATCAGAATTTAATTCAGAAAAAGCACATGATAAACCGCTTGTCTTTTGTTTAGAGTTAAATTAGTCTTTTTACAACTGTTGTTTGCCAAAATATTTTCTTTAACCCATTATTTTCTTAGGCCGGAGCTTTATATCAGGTCTTGAAAATCCCTGTTTTTCGATTAAAAACTTATCTTCTAAGGTAAACTACACTTTTTAGTTGCTGTCAAAAACTTCACATATAAAAAGGGTTTTTAAAATGACAGTGTAGTTTTAGAAGCAAAGCCGCCTTTTCCTAATTTGTGAAAAACAACTAAATATATAATATTTTTATAAATATAAATATTTCTGGACAGAGGAAGTATTATTTTCTTTGTTTTGTTAAAATCTTTCGAACCTATTATGTATTCACAAAACTCCCGTGACGTTTACAATGTCAAACCAAAATTTTTGAATGTATCCCAAACGACATAGATGACTATTATTTCATCTGACTGTACTTGATGTCAAGTTTCCATGGTACACGGCACATGCACCAATGATAATAATTAAATCATTTCAAATCAAGTGATAGCGACCAGGTTGTTAAACTTTGAGTGAAGTTGTCACCAACATAGCTATAGTGACTTTTTGTTTAACTAATTTAATGTCATTTTGACATGTCGGGAGTTTAGTGAATATATTATAGAGAAATTATCACTTAAAAACATTTTAAAAGTTTTTTTATTTGATGTAAGACGTTTGAAATTTAAAGGAAAATGCAATGAAATAATGAAATAAAAAAATGAAATAATGCATTTAATTAATGCAACATAATTTTGCAATTTTTATGCTTTGGGTTAGTAAAAATTTTCCATTTTCGATAGTGAGTTTCTCTGTCACAGAGAACAGACACTCTAAATATACTGAAATAAAGAGAAATTTATGTACATTTAATTAGGCAATAATTTAGCATTTTTAGTGAATTTCTTAACAAAAAACATCCTTAAATGTACATAAATAAACCAAAATTACTTATTATTATGAATATGATTTTTTTGAATTTATTTCACCAAATATTTGAACACATTTTTAAATCCATAAATCAATCAATTTTAATGAAGTAAAAGCCGAAATGAATGGGCATTTGTTAAAACTAGTCTTAAACACACTCAAAATTTCCGGAATTGGACCTAAAAGTCGCAAAATCTACTCACTTGTGTTATTCATAAGTTTGAGCAATTTAGTAATTTTCTCAAGGTTTCAAGTTATCATCAAACACCAAGATTTTGCTTCATCGAAAAAACAAATTTTTCAAAAAATGTTATCAAGTGAGCTAAAAAATTATCAATTGTCGAAAACCGCTACAATCGCTCTTGATTCACCCTCTACATCTTCTATTGCAGCCATCGTCCCCGTGTTACTCAAAGCTCTTCAAGACCCCTCGAACAAGACCTCCGTGTGTCTCCAAACACTTCTCGACACCCAATTCGTCCACTTCATCGACGCCCCATCTTTAGCTCTCATCATGCCAGTGGTCCAAAGAGCCTTCATGGATCGCTCCACCGAAACGCGCAAAATGGCCGCACAAATCATCGGAAATATGTACTCGCTCACCGACCAGAAAGACCTCCTCCCTTACCTCCCGACGATTATTCCGGGCCTGAAAACCTCTCTCCTGGATCCGGTACCGGAAGTTAGGAGTGTTAGTGCTCGAGCTCTGGGCGCTATGGTCCGGGGAATGGGCGAATCGAGTTTCGAGGATCTCCTTCCGTGGTTGATGCAGACGCTGACTTCTGAAAGCAGTTCTGTGGATAGATCCGGAGCCGCTCAGGGGCTTTCAGAGGTTGTTGGCGGGTTGGGAGTCGAGAAGTTGCATAAATTGATGCCGGAGATTATCGCGACGGCGGAGAGGACGGATATCGCGCCTCATGTCAAGGATGGATATATCATGATGTTTATTTATATGCCAGTGGTGTTTACCAATGATTTTACGGTGTATATTGGACAGATTATTAATCCGATTTTGAAAGCGTTGGCTGATGAAAATGAATATGTGAGAGATACGGCGTTGAAGGCAGGACAGAGGATTGTGACATTGTATGCAGATTCGGCCATTTTGTTGCTTCTGCCAGAGTTGGAAAAGGGATTGTTTGATGAAAATTGGAGGATTCGATACAGGTAAGAATGTTAATTAGATTTCAAAATTAACATAGATAAAAACTCGAACTCTAGATAACAGTAAACAGTATAACAGTAAAATGTGATAAAATAAAAATAATAATGGGTGCCAAACTAAAAACAATGCACCCTAGACTCGAACCCGCGACAACTATCATCTATTTCCGGCAGATGGCACTGACGCAAACTTTAGGTTTGCTACTCGGATTTCCAACACTAAATTATTGTCGTAAGAGTGTTTCCAGATAAGTGGGATAAGGAAAGTCGTGTGATGTTTTCATCCGATTTTTTAATCTAGCCATTCATGCGTTGAATTTTTGAAAAATTACGTTTTAATTGTATATAATTTTCTAGAATTATAAATGTAGAGATTTTGTAAAGTCGACAACAGCACAACAAAAATTTGATGGTTTCTGTAGTAGTAAACATTTCAAATAATAGAGTGTAGGCATTTTGTCTTTTTGTGCTCTTTTATCTTTAAATATCTTTAAACATTTATACAGTGACCCAGGGATGCGTGCAAACTATCAACTTATTTTTTCTGTCCCAAAATAAGATACACAACTAAGTTTTGTTTTTTTTTAAATGAAAACTCCAAATTTTTGTTACACTTTTGTATTCGCCACTACTAAATTGTCGATATATCACACCCGAGTTTCTTAGACTTATCTGCAATAGTTGTTGACTTAGTTGAGTTGAGTATCATTTGTCATTTTCAAAAAATCGTAGTAGACGATGGAACATCGACTCAAAGTTTTCCTTTATCTAAAGCTTAAGGAATCGACTGGAAAAAAATTCGTCAAATTTTGTTGAATGGTTCTGGAATTATCAAATTTTCTGTGGGTCTATGCACCACGCTATTTTGACATTGATATATAGTCCGATTTTTTTATAATCTATTGTGAAAGTGTTCTCATGTTGGAACGTGTGGTCGGAAACAGTCAATGATATGGATTGGCGGCATTGAGTGTAATATTTTTTTTATGTCAGTGCGTTAGTGCGCGTATACCAAACTCATTTTTAAAGTCTGAATTAAAATGACTACGCAATACGAGTACAGGACAACCACTGTCGGAACGTGAAAAAATGGCAGTGGTTCGCTTTCACTTTGCATTTTGAAAATTTCAGACTAGGCATAACCTTAAATCTGATTTAGTGGAAAAAAAAATATATAGCTGGTCCGTAAATAAATGTTTTTGGAATTTTAGGGTGGTACAGTCTGATTTTTTATGGAACTTTGACACTGATAATTGATTATAAAAAATCGGACTTTATATCAATGTCAAAATAGCGTGGTGCATAGACCCACAGAAAATTTGATAATTTCAGAACCATTCAACAAAATTTGACCAATTTTTTTCCAGTCGATTCCTTAAGCTTTAGATAAAGGCAAACTTTGAGTCGATGTTCCATCGTCTACTACGATTTTTTGAAAATGACAATGATACTCAACTTTTTCAAATACAACACCCTATATTTTATTGCATCATTGCATGGCATTTTCTATGAGCCGACATAGGGTTTGTGGGGTCTATTTTGTAAACTTGTGAGATTTTTGCAAAATAAGAAACGTCGAGGTTTTTTTCGAAAAAAAAAAGGAATCGAGTAGGCCGCTGTAATTTATAATAAAATAAAATTGATGAGATGACGAGACAAAGAAAATAAAAATTCAGTACAAATTAATTTATACATGGTCAACAAAAAATATGTAACCACGTTTTTTTGAATTTGTTTTTGAATTTTGTAAAAAAAATGACAACTTAAACCTTTTTTTAAAAGGCTATGATGTGAGAATTATAACGATCTACATTTTATTCAATTTTTGTTGTTGCTATTGTGACAAAGAAAAAAACCCATAACTCAAAAATAAAACAAAATGTCATTCTCAAAATCACATTTTTATAGCACTTTTTATTATTATTAATTATTATTTTCTGAATGCAAAGTGTTAAAAAAACGCTTGATTTAATATTTTTTGTTCACCCTGTATATAGAGATATAAGCTGAAGCTTTGGCTTTTGATTTCGGTTGCGACAATTTAAAATTTCGATTAGTAAATAATTATTAGTAATTAATAAATAAAGTAAATTTCGATTAGTATTTATTATTATTCGTCAAGTAACAAAAATAGGGATTGTCATTATTGTTTAAGTATGAATTCGCTACAACTCGGAATGCCTGACAAGTACTAAAAATCGTCGCAAGGTGTCGCTATAGTATCAACCTAGCGAGTACGTAAGGTTCTTTTGGAGTTAAAATCTCGAAAGGAAACTGTTTCGTTATCGCTTCTCGGCCTATGGCTAAGATCAAAGTGTAGTATCTGTTCTTATCAGCTTAATATCTGATACGCCCCGCATGCGGGGCCAGTATATTAAACTGATTTTTGGAATTTGACGAAGACCAGGAGCTTGCTCTACCTTCGTCGCGGGTTGGCCCGACATTGCATTACAGTCGGGATCGGCCCACCTAACACAATTCAAACATATTTTGAAAACGATACCTAGAACTTCTTTTTCTTTTTTCAGTTTTGTAATAAGTCTATTAAACCACCCAAATGACGTCATTTGAGTGATTTCATAAGTCGTTGGCGTTAATTTATTTAGTGACGGACTTTCTTTATTATTCATTTTCAAATGTGAAAATAAGAATTATTTTTATTTTTTACAACCACCTAAAATTATTCCACATAAATGTCACCCACCGTCACAAAATTCCCTAGAAAAAAGAATTTAAAATTTTTGGCTTTTAATTTATAAAATGATATAAAGCAAAATAGAAAAAATAGTACAAAACACTCGTTGCAGAAGGTTCTTCAGGCACTCATTTGTTCCTTCTGCAACTTGTATTTTAATATACTATTTGTACAGGGTGTTGCGTTTTTATTGTTACAAATTTAAACAGGTGATAAAATATTCAGTTTTAAGACAAAACTCCCTATAAACATGTATTCAAAAATGTTATGTGAGCGAGCTATACCCCATGAAAGAGATGCGTTTTTAATGGATTTTTTCCATTATTGCAGAATCGATAATAGTTATTTATTGTAAGAGTGTGTTAGGTAACGTTTTATCCACGCAAGAATGTTTCTTAAGTGGATAAAACGCGACTAACACACGACTGCAATATAACGTTTTATCCACAATCACAGACTCAAATTATTTCAAACTTAATTAAAAATTAAACTGACATTTAAACGTCACGCCAAATGTGCTTTCGGTTAAACGTAGTAAGCTGTTACTCGGTGCGCTGGTTACTAATAGTGAAATAAAGTTACTTTATTCGACTAGTGGATAAACTGGTACTTTATACGCATCTAAAGTGTGGAATAAAGTCTCTTTATAGAGTGATTTTTGGATAAAATTACAAAAGTTGCTACAACTAATAACCTTTAAACACCTGAACAAATTCAAAATCAGTTGTCAATTTTTTTTAACACGGGCGTTCTAAACGGTAAGATGAATTTAATTTTAATTTTTATCTTATTTATGGTCTGTAACACATATTGTAAACTGATTTTACTCAAAAACGGTAAGCTGTAAAAAAAAACGCAAAAGACCTATTTTCTGTGAAAAACTATGAAATTTAGAATTTTCTGGCTGAAAGTGGTAAGAACCAATAGCCAAAATAGTTACGGTACTTTTTACCATAGTTTAGGACGCTCTTGAATAAAAAGTTAGACATTTTATCTTTGAATTCGTTTGGGTGTATAAAGGTTATCAGTTGTACTAAATTTTGTAATTTTATCTACAATGGTTGCTGAAATATTGAAAAAAATCTATTAATTTGAGAGGGTGTAGCTCCCTCGCGTAGCATTTTTCGATACATGTTCATAGGAAACTTAAATCTTCAAATTGAATATTCTATCAACTGTTTAAACTTGTAACAATAAAAACGGAACATCCTGTATATTTATCAAAGTTTGTTTAATTATTTACAATTAGTTAACAGGACTAAATTTATTTTTCGAAAGTACTTGAGAGATTTTTTCATATTCGTTTGATTTCAGTTCGTAAATTACAAATCTACAAAGAATTAAAATAATATTAGGATTTATTGGGCCCAAAAGAAAATAAAATACAAAACAAAAAATCACACTTTAGCTTTTCTAAAAAGCTATCAAAAAATACAATTTGAATTCTGTGTGCGACAAACATTTTTACTCATGGAGAATATCGACCAAATTCAATTTTGACGAGTTTTAGCTTTGGAGGGTAGTTCACTGTCAAAAAATTCAAAGTAAAAACCAATGTTCATAAAATATTTAAGTCCAACATACGTATTAAACAAATTATTCATAGAGTAAACATAAAAAATACAAAATCGGAAAGAACTAAAGACACCTTTGTGTAAAATGTTCGTTGTTAAAACATAGAAGCAAAATAATTTTATCCTAAAAATTTCATTGCTAAAATGTTCAAAACCAAAAAGTGAGTAACAGGGTCATTTCCAGACTCAGTTTTTAGGATATTAGCAAGGGCCTCTGCGCAAGAATAATTAGCAAGAGCTGGAAGCATTGCGCACATTGTGATCAGTCAGTTTGATGCGCAGACGTTCACGCCTTCGCCACTTCTTGCACTCTTATGCTCCTGATACCACGATTTTGTTTTTGAACGCTTTGTGATATTTCTGTTTTGCTTGAAAATATTTTGTCCAGTTTTAGTTTTACTTGTTAATGAACTTCAGCCCGTGACTAAAATGACAGTTTCTATTAGCAACGTGACTAATACGTATATAAGTCACGGATTGTCAAGATGTGTATAAAAGGTCACTTAGCGTCATGGAAACATATACGATAATCCGTGTTTTAGATGTGGGAGTAGAAAAAAATAATTTAACAGTGTAAAATACAAAAAAGCAGCCTAGTAGCGCCCCCTTTTTACTTTTTCCAGTTCGGTCCAACTTCTCGGCGACCTACTTTACCGAATTTCCGGCGTGACCGGTAAAATGAGCACGGAAACGGCCAGCGAAGATGACAATTTCGGTACTGAACAATCCCATCATGCCATAATCAGAGCTTTGGGTGCTGAACGTCGTAATCGTGTTTTGGCTGGTCTCTACATGGGTCGTTCCGATGTCGCACTCATGGTAAGACAGGCGGCTTTGCATGTCTGGAAGGTCGTCGTGACAAACACTCCCCGAACACTGAGAGAAATTCTACCAACTCTATTCGGTTTGTTGCTCGGTTGTCTTGCCAGCGATAGCTATGATAAAAGACAAGTTGCTGCAAGGACACTTGGTGATCTTGTCCGGAAGTTGGGCGAGAGAGTGTTACCGGAAATTATTCCGATTCTGGAAAGGGGTCTCCAATCGGATCAGCCCGATCAGAGACAAGGAGTGTGTATAGGATTGTCGGAAATCATGGCTTCGACTTCCAGAGAGATGGTTTTGACTTTTGTTAATTCGTTGGTACCGACGGTGAGGAAAGCATTGTGTGATCCACTACCCGAAGTGAGGCAAGCAGCAGCGAAGACTTTTGATAGTTTGCATTCGACTGTTGGAGCGAGGGCTTTGGATGATATCTTACCAACAATGCTTAATCAATTGGTGAGTAGATTTTTGATAAAGTTGTCAAAACGATCACTAAAAAAGGGTCCTCAATCAAATAACGGACGTGGTGGGATATTTGAAAAAAATTAATATTTTTAGTTGTTTTCATAAAAAAATGGTATTTATTCACATTTATAAAAATCTAAAAAAATCGAATAAAACCATCAGCGCCTTTACTTGGTTTTCACAAAATTTCAGGACAGACATTTGCAAAATACGATTAAATAAGTTAAAAGTTTGTGTAAAATAGTACATTATGTTATAAGTGATAGAAATGCATCATTATACGCGAGTGAGAATTTTGACCGACGAGTGCGCTTGCGCACGAGTGGGACACTTCTCACGAGTTTCAATATAATAGAAAAAAATAATATAATAGTCAAATTTACTCACTTGTGAGTACTTTATCTCACTTGTGAATAATATTTGATTTCTCTCACCTAAAACAATGGTCTAAGGTACCTCAAAAACTCAACCTGTAAAATAAAATAGTTTTCCTTATGAAGAATAGAGAAAAGATGAAGACAAAGGGTAATCTGAGATTTCTCAGCCCAACTTATCTCTATTCCTTAGTACAGTGTTGTTAAAAAGTTTTCAAATAACATTAAAAAACCGTCTTATGTGGATTAATTTCAATTTTTTCGAATTTAAAGTTTTTCCGAATTAAATTATTTTTCCTATCATTTTGCAAGTCAGTTTTGAAGATCGGAAATACGATTAAAGAATTTAAAAAATTGGAGGTTTTACATAAAAATCACTTTATCGTATACCCGATTAATCTGGTAAAATGTTGACTGAATCGAATTTTGTTCAAAGCTTTAAAATAAATGTTGAAAAAATACACAGTTTTAAATGGATTGATTTAATAATCGGTATAGTCTGGTGAAGTCTACTAAATCGAGTTTTGTTGAAAAGTTTTAAATAAACGTTAAAAATACATTTTTAAGTAAATTGATTTAATAATCCGTTTTTTTCGGATTTTGGCGATTTTTCGTATACTTTTACAACTACGGCTAGATTTACTCGATTTCGAAAACCGGAAATACGATTAAAAAGTGGAATTGGTACACAAAACATTTAACTTTCGACAATTTTATATTTTTCAAAGTAAAAAAAAATAAAAACAATTTTTTTTATTATTGAAAGACAGACATAAAAAGTACCTACTGGAATTGTTAAAAAAAATAAAGTTGTAAATAAGAAACAAACAAAAAAACTGTGATTTATTATTTTTTATACCTTTTATATCACGAAAGGTGACTTGTTGCGTATTGGTGAAAAATTGTTTAAATGTTCCCTGACAAATATTCACAATATATAGGTGTTCGGAAAGTCGCGCACTTCCGTGACACTGTATCATCCGGCGATACCCTAGACAACAAGAAAAATGTAAAAAAAAAGTTATAAGAGTTTAAATTTTGCACTTTGGCTCAATTTTTTTTTTGTTGGAAAAATAATTTTACAAGTTTTTTTTGATATAGGCTATTGGAGAGGAAACTAGGAAGCTGTATTCTAAATTGTAACTCTGTTTAATGTTATTTGTGGCTTTTTTGTACCCATACCAAATAATTATAAAAAAAAGCATATACAAGATCATCAGTATCATTAATTAGACATAAAAAATGTCAAATGTCAAGAAATAAATGTCAATGTTTTTTGTCAGATAGAATTTTTTAAACATTCATGTTTTTTGTACTCTAGGGGACTACCTAATTACTCCCTTTGAATGAAGTGCTCGACTTTTCGGACACTGTGTATTTAAATTAAAATAAATAACTAAAAATATTTTTAATTAAGTTTAACACAGGGAGACAAAAATAAAGTCATGTTGTGACAACTTGACAAATTTTATATCATTTTGTTCGTCTCAGTGAGACAAATCAAATGCACTAAAAAAAGTCCACACACTTTCAACTAAATAATTTTTTTCTAATTTAAATGTATTTAACATACTTTAACTTTAAAAAACCATTACTCAATAACTATTACTACTACTTTCAAATAAAGACCATTCTAAAGGGATAACCTTAGAATGATATGAAATTTGAAATTGAATATTGTCAAACATTTCTTCGAAGAATTTCTACCAAAAAGTTCGAAGTAAATCGAAATAATTTAAGGAAAACCCTTCGAGTAATTTTTTTTTTCATCATTTCCATCGTGTAGAGCATCTCTTTATTGGTTGTAATCCAAATTTTTAAAATAATATTCCGAGTAGTTTTCAAGATATGATTTTTTGAAGTTAAGGTTTGCTAATCAAGCATTGCTTCATATAGGAGAAATGCATGTTAATCTTATTTAAAATTGCATTTTTATAAAAGTATTTGTTTTAAGACTCTTCTTTTGCATTAAAATGGTCAATTCCACCTAAATAACTTTTTTCTAATTTAAATGAATTTTAAATACCTTAACTTTAAAAAATCATTACTATTAGGCCGTTTTCCTTCAAATAAAGACCATTCTAAAGGGATGGACTTGCCCTTTAGAATGATATGCAATTTGAAATTGAATATTGGCAAACTTTCCTTCGAACAATATTGCTTTTAACATCACTCGAAAGTGATGAGAAAGCATTTGCTCAGAATATTTAAAAAAAAAGTTCAGAAAGCTTGAACAAAGTGAAGTCGAAATCTGAATGGAAAGTGATTTGATTTGTAAAAGATTTGTCCTTATATTTAAGGCTCGTGCCTTCTAAATCCTCTTTGCTCAATGATCAGTGGTCATTTTTACAACAAAAAAACTCTTTATTTGCTTTAATTGGTACGCAGGTACTCTTTATTTGTTTTAAGTAAACAAACAGTTTTTGTTTATTCTAATTAGAACAAAGATGATGCAATTGACCATTTTTAAGCAAAAGAAGAGTCTTAAAACAAATAGTTTTATAAAAATGCAATTTTAAGTAAGATTAACATGTATTTCTCCTATATTGAGCAATGCTTGATTAGCAAACCTTAACTTCAAAAAATCATATCTTGAAAATTACTCCGTATATTCTTTTGAAAATTTGGATTACAACTAACAAAGATATGCTCTACACGATAGTAATGATGAAAAAAAATACTCGTAGGTTTTTCTTAGATTATTTCGATTTACTTCGAACATTGTTCGAAGAAAAGTTTGCCAATATTCAATTTCAAAATTGATATCATTCTAAAGGGCAAGGACATCCATTGAGAATGGTCTTTATTTGAAGAAAATCGGCCTAATAGTTATTGAGTAATGATTTTTTAAAGTTGAAGTATTTTAAATTCATTTAAATTAGAAAAAAAATATTTAATTCGAAGTGTGTGGACTTTTTAAAATCATTTTAGTGCATTTGATTTGTCTCACTGAGACGAACAAAATGATATAAAATTTGTCAAGTTGTCCCGACATGACTTTTTTTTGTCGCCCTGTGTAATTATCTAATGTAATTGAAATTAATATTTGATGTTTATTTGCTTGAGGAAAACTATTTTTCTTGTTAGGATTTGAATAAAATATTGGAAATTTGGGTTTTAGAAGTGATTGTTTCGACATGGAATTACTCCTTGAAGAAAGCACACTGTTTTATTGTTTTTGTTTTTTTTTATAGAACGATTCTGATCCCGACGTTGTGGAATGGACATTAGACGGTCTTCGCCAAGTCATGGCGATCAAATCTCGCGTCGTTCTCCCCTATCTAGTACCCCAATTAACAGCCCCTCCCACCAACACAAAAGCCCTCTCAATCCTGGCATCCGTGGCCGGCGAAGCCCTTAACAAATACCTCCCTCGCATTCTACCAGCTTTACAAACAGCTTTGGCCACATCTCGCGGAACGCCAGAAGAGGCCCAACAGTTGGAATACTGCCAAGCAGTCGTCTTATCAGTCAGTGACGAAGTCGGCATACGAACCGTAATCGACACAATGCTTGAAAACACACGAAACGAGAACGCCGATCAGAGAAGAGCCGCCGCGACGCTTCTTTGCGGTTTTTGTGCCAATTCCAAGGCACAATACACATCGCATGTGCCTCAACTCTTGCGAGGATTGATACATCTGTGTACGGATAGCGATAAGGATGTGTTGCAAATGTCATGGGAGGCGTTGAATGCCGTCACAAAGACGTTGGATCCGAAGTTGCAGGCGACTTATGTGTCCGATGTTAGACAAGCAGTGAGATATGCCATGTCGGATATGAAGGGGGCACAGCTGTTGCCTGGGTTCTGTTTACCGAAAGGTAAAGATATTTTATTACAAGAACAATTTGTTTTATAAGCTATATTTTTTACTGCGTTTTTGGATTAATCGTGTCATTGTAAGGGAGTTTCATCATCTTTTCCTATACTTAAATTTTGTCGTTTTTGAAATGTTTGGAATTTTTCAAAAAAAATTGGATCTGCACCTTCCACTTTAAAAATCGGTAACTCTGCCATTTTTTAAGATTTTGAATTCGATTTTTTGGCGTTTGAAAGAGAAAGTTTAGATCTTTCTTTCGGTGTTCTCAAATTTTGAAAAAAAAATTAACAAGCCCTAAAATTTTAAGGTTGCTTACGTCATCTTGAAAATATTTTTATTTAGGAGGACTTAATGGTTTATCGCTATTTACACCCGGGGAAAAAACTCTTCACCAATCTAACTTTCTGCTCACACTGCGCTTTGTTACAATAGTGTTTCCGACTAAATAGTTGGAAAGCAGGTAATATGTCGAAAGACCCTTATTTAGGAAGTTGGTCCGGACTCGAGTATACACGTTTCTACAAAACGGTCTTTTTCTGAAAATTTCTTCAATCAGTAGAGATTATTAAATGGTGATTATAATAATTTGCAAAATGACACTAAGCAAATTTTAGAGAAAAAAATGCATGCCCATGTATTTCATTACCTTAACAAAATTTTTGTGATTTACTTTCTATTTTATAAACAAATAGAGTGAGTTTCTTCCGTTTTTTATATTTATTTTTATTACTTCTAAACAAAGCAAAAAACCCAAAGTGGTGCTTCACCTGAAACCAGTACGTCTGTAACTTTAAAAGTTCATTATTTTCACTCAGTGGAAAAAAAAATTTTTTCTCTTAATTTTGAGCTTGTAATAACTAATAACACTATAACTATGTTAATTTACCTTTAATTAAACAAAAATAATTGTTAAATTTTTCTATCACGTCACACTTTTTTGTTACAGACGATAATTTTCTTGCTTTCTGCATAAATGCCTCCGATTAAAAATTTATTTAAATTCAAATTGTTGCTGAATTATTGGAAAATTATTATTATATGGGTCTAAATAGGTCTTAAAAACATTTCACTCGCATTTGGACTTCTTTTCTAAAAATTTAAGGAGCATGAGTGACAAACAAGACGAGCGTTTTCATCAAGATCTGAAGGGTTTTCAAAGATCGACACGAAGGTTTTTGGGATGAAAATATGTTACTAGATTACTGTTGGATTGTTATAAAGAAAACTGATCCAAAAAGTATAATAAAACCAAGTACTTTTAATATGTTTTTTGGCGGTTTTTGTATTTTTGTTAATTACATATTTCTTAAACGTAACGTGGTGGACTTTTTTAAATAGTTTTTTCTTTAACTCAGTGCCTCAAAATCTATAAGAAATTAGCTTTCAGCTAAGGTATAAAAATCGTGTAAACTAGTGTAATTTTTCTCTGCGTTTTAAATCCCATCACATTGGCGTTTTATTTTTTTGACAACGATGTCGTTTGGCAGATGAGTTAACGCAAGTTAAATAACAAAAATGTTTGTAAAAAACATAATTTTAATAATTGGCAAGTCAAAAAACAGCTTCTAAAAATAAACAATCAGTCATTTTTAACAAAAACAATCATTATTCAATTATTAAGTAATTGTCAAAGTGACATCGTTGTCAAAAAAATAAAATCGCCAATGTGATAGGACTTCAAAAGCAAAGAAAGATTATTATTACAAGTTCAAAAGTAAGAAAAAAAAAAACTTTTCTTTCCACTGAGTCAGAATAATGAAGTTTTAATTACAGATTTGCTCGTTTCAGATAAAGCAAAAACAACCCTTACTGTTAAAGTGTTACTTTATCTACTCAAAAGAGTTTTTAAAGAAATAGTTTAACCTCTGCTATAGAAAAAAAAAAGTATTTCCTTTGCTATTTTAGCGTAAAATCAAAGGTAAAAATTTGTTTCCTTTTGACTGACTATTATAAAATGTATTATTAAGTTCAGAATTTTTATTATAAAAGAAATAACTTGATAGAAATTGGCAAAATTCACAGTTTATTAAAAAATTCTGCCATTTAAAACTGGTTCTACAATCTTGATTTTTGAAAACTGTAGAAGAACCTTAAAAGTCAAGTCAAGCTAAAAATGTTTTTCCTTTTCAGTTTTGGCGTAAAATCAAAGGTAAATGTTTTTTTCTTCTTGTAAACTTAATCCGGGAACATACTGTATACAGTTGGAGACAAAATACTTTGGTCGTCACTTTTCTGACACTGTAATGTAATTCAAGCTTTAACGTCAAAATAAATGATAATTTTAAATTAATGACAGCTATTATATTTTCCTATCAAAAATATGTACATACAACTTGTCAACTATGATTGACAGTAGCTAAAAACAAGGTTAACAGTCCTAAAGCATGCTTTATAATTTAATGTCACTCAAGTGATATTGACGACCAAAGTACCAAAAAAAATAATTAGTGTAGCGTAAAGTCCAATTAAAATGTGACCATTTATCAAGAATAACATTTTTTGAAATTTCTTTTAGTTTTCGAGTTCTGGAAAAATTTTTTTTTTAAATGGCAACCCACTGGTAATTTTTTTAATTAAAGATTATGATCTAAAAATGACCTCTAATTAAACAGAATTGTTTTCTAGTCAGTACTTTTTTCTTAATAAATTGTTAAAGTTGCGTTCCGAGCACATCACGAAGATTTTCCGAACTTGAACGAGGGGGTCGTTTCATGACTTTGGTTGTTGGAGAGCCCGGTTTTTTGTGCAGGTGCTTTGGGGTGGTTCCGGATGGATCAAAAAATGTAAAAACAAATCATTTTCTTCTATTTTTGGTCCATTTGAAACCACCCCAAAGCACCTGCATAGAAATCAGCGCTCTCCCATGATGAAAAGCATGAAACAACCACTTCGGTTAAGTTCGGAAAATCTTCGTGATGAGTTCGGAACGCAACTTTAACAATTATTTTAAAAAAAAGTACTGGCTAAAAAACAATTTTATTTAATTAAAGGTCATTTTTAGATCATAATCTTTAATTAAAAAAAATTTCATGGTGGGTTGCCATTAAAATTTTTTTTTTTTTCTAAAACCCGAAAACTAAAAGAAATTTCGAAAAATGTTATTCTTGATAAATGGTCACATTTTAATTGGACTTTACGCTACACTAATTATTTTTTTTTGTAAAGTGGTTAGTTTACGAGAAAAACGCTTCGTTCCATACTTTTTATTCACCTGGTATTTGTCTTCAACTGTACTTGCAAAATACATTTCTTAAATAAATTTATGCATTTGTAATTTGATAATTTGAGCAAGCTTGTTTATTATAAACACAATTTAATGTATACGTTATAATCTATGCTCATTGAAGTAATTTTTACAAAAAGACATTTTTCGGGTTCGGACCAACTTCCTAAATAAGGGTTTTTCGACATATTACCTGCTCTCCTGCGACAAAGCGCAGCCCGAGTACAAAATTAGACTGGTGAATAGTTTTTCCCCCCGGTGTACCAATTTTCAAACAAATACGATTATACCAACTCCCAATACTTCTAATGTGGGGTTTAGACGCAACACTCTGTATTTGTAAAATGAAATCATTGCAGGAATCGCACCGATTTTGCCCATCTTCCGTGAGGCGATCCTCAACGGCGACGGCGACGAAAAAGAGACCGCAGCTCAAGGGTTAGGCGAAGTGATCAAAGTGACAAGCGCACAAGCCCTCCAAACTAGTGTTGTCGCCATAACCGGTCCTCTGATTCGTATACTCGGCGATCGTTTCAGTGCCAACGTCAAAACTGCCGTTCTTGAAACTTTGGCGATATTATTAGCCAAAGTTGGAGTCATGTTAAAACAGTTCCTACCACAACTCCAAACAACTTTCGTCAAAGCATTAAATGACCCGAATCGAGTCGTTAGACTGAAATCTGCGACAGCTTTGAGTTATCTAATCGTCATCCACCAGAGGGCCGATCCACTCTTTATGGAAATGCACAATACGATTAAACAAACTGACGATTCGGCGATTAGAGAAACAACTTTGCATGCGTTAAGAGGAATTATTACGCCAGCTGGTGATAAAATGTCCGACACAGTGAAAAAACAGATTCATGCGACTTTATTAGCACTGTTGGGTCATCAGGAAGATGTGAGTCGAAATTGTGCCGCTGGATGTTTGGGCGCCATCTGTCGGTGGTTGACACCGGAACAATTAGAGGTCACACTTACCGAAAATCTACTATGTGAGGATACACAAGCGGATTGGATGTTGCGTCATGGTAGAGCTGCAGCGTTGTCGGTTGCTTTGAAAGAGTTTCCGGCATGTATATGGCAAGAACAGTACAAAACAAGACTGATTCAAACGATTTTGACACAATTGGCGGCTGATAGAGTCGTTATTACACAGACTGCTGTTCGTTCTTGCGGCTATTTGTTGCAATATTTGATGCTGAATGGTGAAGCACTACCGACGAATTTGTTAGGACCTTTTGTGAGGGTAAGAAATTTTGTGGTTTATTTCAATTTTTTTGGGTCTCAGAGTGCGTTAATAGCCTGTAGTTTTATTTTATGTTTTTAATATTGGTAATAATGAAAAAAAATCTTGAGATGTCCAAAGTAATTCCAGATTACAAACTTGAGTGCAATAAAAACGCAAATTGTTTTTTTTATAATGTAACTTGACCTGTTAATAAATTGCAGGTTTTTTGACGTTGTCTTTTTCACAATTCACAATTTCATAATTGTTAGGCATTTTCCAAACTTCTATCAAGTTTTTCCATTTTGTTTTTAACACTGACTATGACCCTTCATTGGCAAGACCACCAAATAAGACGTTTTGACAGTTTTCTAACCTTTCTAGGAACAACCTTTTTCACACAATTTTTTTTTGACAATTTGAGTTTTTTTTGCCCTCAAGTGTACAGTCGAACAAAGTGAAAATGACGCCTCAATAAACTACCCCAAGCAGGCAGGTCGTAAATTATCGGACTGCAAACTTGAAGAAAAAGCGAAATAAAAATTTAATTCAGAATTAATTCGAATTAAGTTGCCATTTATTTTGCATTGACAAATGACAAGTTAATCGCGAATTAAAATTTAATTGTGATTAACACGTTCTGTTAACTGGCCCTAAGTTTTCTATTAATTTTGTAATTGTCATTGAAAACGATTCAAAATTATTTATTTAATTTAACCTGAAAAAAAAAACCGCAAAGTTATTTGAATTTCTTTAGTTCTGCTACAAAATTATTTTTTTGATAATTGTAATACTTTTAAATTAAA